CTTTTGTCATTGCTATGGATGTTCCAGCGTCCAATAGCAGGGGTGCTCCATCAGGTACAAGGTTCCAGGCACGTTGTCACGGGCATCCCTCTAGAAATTAGTTTTGCTAATCTCCAGCTGAAGAGTAGGTCTGTCTGTCTTCTGGTCACCTTTATTATCGTGCACTGATTTCTGCTGGTGAGGAGGCTGGAGAAGTTCTCTAGACACCTCCAGAGAGGAAAAGGGGACCAGAAACTGGTAGTGCCCAGACACTCTGATGAAAGGCTCTTTTGTATTTTTGCATATCCCTCATGGAATGTTCGGAGGGATGGCAGGCTCCCACAGTGCTCACTGGCAGAGTTACTCTGAGCACAGTGTCCCTTTAGGAGCAGTCAAACATGTCCCTATTGTGAGTACTGCCATTATGTTCAGGGAAGGAGTGTTAACTTGGCAATGTTTTGGGGATCTTTGGGGATTGGAAATTTCGTGTTGATCCTGGGAGTTGTAAAAATCCAGATGCCTTCAACAGGTCACTTGTGACAGATTTGTGATATCGTCATGATTTTAAATTAGTGTTAATGAGTAAACGTAATTCAGTTGCTTGGTAAATGAGCCATACTAACAAAGACTTTCGTCATCCATGACGCTACTTATTATTAAATTAGAAAGCGAAAAAAAAATTTTCAACTTTAAAGCATAAAAATGTTGGCTTAAGCAATTCCATTTAGTCAACATATGTCATTTGATTACAACAAATGTTTATCTTTGCCCTGAGTCTAAAATTCTAAGGTTCAGAAAAAGAATAAATACCAATTCGATGTATTTGCTTTTTTCCATACCCATGGTGGCTCTGATTATTTCAAAGAATAATATGAAAAACTTTCAAAAGCTATCGTAAAGAAAATTATTATTTTTAAAATCTTTTATAGATTTTATTTTTTTAAAATACACGACAGCAGTAGAATGCATTACAATTCTTATTACACATATAGAGCACAATTTTTCATCTTTGTATATTTCGTATGATGAGGGCCACAGTCAAGTCGGAATGACGCCTAGCATTTTGCCAGAGGGAGTGGTTGAGAGGTGACCCCAGCGAGCCATTGAGATGATAATGGTTAAGTTAATCTGCGTATTCAGTTGTATATAGACCCCTGCCAGCTACTTTGGAGTTATTGCTGGGATTCCTGGGGAGTTCGAGTTGGTTGGGGAAGTTCCGGAGGAGGGATTTCCCGTTGGTGGTTCCTGGAAGGGCCCCGTGGGTGGCATTTGCGGGAGTTCCTGTTTTGAACCTACAAGTGCCTTGTGGCGGCTTGTGCCCAGCCAGACTGAGGCATTTGGTGGCCCGTATGGGGAACGCCTGGGGGTAAGTGATAAGGTAAACTGCTTGCTCCTGAGGGCAGTGCGAGAGGATGGGTAACCATTCTTCTTTCATTTTGTTTCACGTTTGTTTTAAGTTGCCAGTCCCTGGAGATGGGTGGGACCGAAGAAAAACCCGCTCACAACTGAGGGAAAACTATTTGCCTCTGAGGAACAGATAGGGAGAAAGGACGGATGGACATTTCAGGAGGATAGAAAGGCTGATCTAATGAATTTTTGTTGCATTTTTGTTGCATTTTTTCTTGGTTTTGTTTTGCATTATCTTAGTGAGGGGTATCTTCGTCATGGAAATATGGAATTAAAAATTAATAAGAACCAAACCGAAAGGGCATTAAGTAAAGTGCTAGAGGAAGGAGGCATCTCAGTAAAATCAAGAACAGTTAAGGCATACGTTAAGACGATAGATACAAAGGTGTAGCCCATGGTTCATTAAAGAGGGGTTGTTAAATATATCACAATGGAACCATCATGGTGAAGATTTTAAAAAGATACAAAAGGAAAGCTTAGGAACTCTGCCAGTTGGTACATTACCATTATGGACGTTGGTATAATCTTGTTTGCTTAGTCTAGGAGAAGACATTTTAAATCAAGTAAAAGAGGAAGTCTCTCGTGTTAGACAGGGGAAAAAAGTTTAGAGAAGGAGGGGCTATCCGGAGAGAAGTTACAGTGGGAGGTTGCTACTAACACCTTTCTATCACCAGAGGGCGTAAGTGTCCAACCAACAGCTCCACCTATGGAGACAACATATGCTGAGTGGCCCTCAACCCCCATAGTTGATAGATGGGATCCTGAGACAGGACCTCAAAGATTAGCATGCCCTGTATTTGAGGCGGCAGGAGGGCAGCGAAATCACCATGTTTTAGATTTCAAAACAGTGAAGCAGCTAAAAGAGGCTGTAACAACCTATGGTCCTCAAGCACCCTTCACTGTAAGCTTGGTCGAATCCATTACCAACTTGAACATGACACCAGCAGATTGGGCTAGTATGTGTAAAGCTGTGCTAAATGGAGGACAATAACTGTTATTGAAGGTTGCCAATGAGAAATTTTGCCTGGAGATGGCTAGTCGAAATGCAGCAGCCGGTTATCCTCAGAGAAATCTAGATATGTTGTTAGGAAAGGGACCTTTTGAGGATCAGCAGCAACAGATTAGATATGATCCTGCTATATACTCACAAATTGCTGCAGATACAGTTAGGGTTTGGAAGACTTTACAAGGACATGGAGATTTACAAGGTCAGTTATCTAAGGTAATACAAGGACCTAATGAACCTTACGCTGAATTTGTAGATAGGCTTATTCAAATAGCTACCAGAGTTTTTGGGGATTCAGAACAAGCAATGCCATTAATAAAACAACTGGCTTATGAGCAAGCAAATCATTGGTGCAAGGAGCCCATTAGAACATGGAAACAAAGACTTAAACACATAAATTATGTAGAGACATTAATGAACAAGGGCAAGTCTTGGCAGCTGCAGTACAACAGGCTTTAGATGCCAGGTCAAAAACATGCTACAATTGTGAACAAACAGGACATTTTAAAAGGAATTCATGCCTTTATACATGTACTTTGGTTTTTTATCATTACAATTCTTAATACACATATATACTACAATTTTTCATATCTGTTTGTATATAAAGTATGTATATAAAGTCTTCATACTTGTACTTTGGATAATGATGTCCATCACATTCCACCATCCTTGCTAATCCCCTGCCCCCTCCCTTTCCCTCCCACCCCTCTTCCCTATCCAAAGTTCATCTAATCCTCCCATGCTCTTCCTCCCTACCCCACCATGAGTCAGCCTCCTTATATCAGAGAAAACATTTGGCATTTGGTTTTTGGGATTGGCTAACTTCACTTAGCATTATCTTTTCCAACGCCATCCATTTACCTGCAAATGTCATGGTTTTGTTCTTTTTTAATGCTGAGTAAAATTCCATGGTGTATATATGCCACATTTTTTTTTATCCATTCATCCACTGAAGGACATCTAGGTTGACTCCACAGTTTAGCTATTGTGAATTGTGCTGCTATAAACATTGATGTGGCTGTGTCTCTGTAGTATGCTGTTTTTAAGTCCTTTGGGTATAGTCCGAGGAGAGGAATAGCTAGGTCAAATGGTGGTTCCATTCCCAGATTTCCAAGGAATCTCCATACTGCTTTCCATATTGGCTGCATCAATTTGCAGTTCCACCAGCAGGGTATGAGTGTGCCTTTCCTCCCACATCCTCGCCAGCATTTATTGTTGTTTGTCTTCATAATAGCTGCCATTCTGACTGGAGTGAGATGACATCTTAGAGTAGTTTTGATTTGCATTTCTCTGATTGCTAGAGATGATGAGCATTTTTTCATATAATTGTTGATTGATTGTACATCCTCTTCTGAGAAGTGTCTGTTCAGGTCCTTGGCCCATTTGTTGATTGGGTTATTTGTTTTTTTCAGTGTTTAGCTTTTTGAGTTTTTTATATACCCTAGAGATTAGTGCTCTATCTGATGTGTTGTCGTGACCCCTCGCCAGCAAGGAAGACACGACTCAGGAATCTTCTCTCAGCAGTTTATTCAGGCCTTTACTCAGACATGTCTTCAAGCATTCTCTCTCCGTTTGCGCCTCCCACACTTAATAAAGCACACCAAGCCCCAATGCAAAGCTGCCACGTGGACCTTTCTCATAGGGTGTTAAACAATGACGTGCCAACTCTCCCTAATAAGGAGTTGTTTGTCTCAGACCACGGCGGAAACCAGCGCCATCTTGTAATGGCGGCCACGGTCCGCTGAAACGGCTCACCACAATGTGTGAGGGGTAAAAATTTGCTCCCATTCTGTGGGCTCTCTATTCACCTCACAGATTGTTTCTTTTGCTGAGAAGAAACTTCTTAGTTTGATTCCATCCCATTTATTGATTCTTGGTTTTAATTCTTTCACTATAGGAGTCAAGAAAATTATTTTAACTGGTAATTTTAATATCATCTTTCTTCCATTCTTTCCTATTTCTTTCATGCTGGGGAATGGACCCAGGACTTTTATACATGTTACTCTTACCACTGAGCTATATCCCAGTCCTCAATATCTTCTTCCTCTTTTTTATAACATTTATTTTTTAGTGACAGGTAGACACAATACCTTTATTTTACTTTTATGTGGTGCTGAGGATCGAACCCAGTGCCTCACACATGCTAGGCAAGAGCTCTTCCTCTGAACCACAACCCCCAGTCCTCTTTTCTTTTTCTTTTTTTTTTCCCTTCATTGTACCAGGGATTGAAGCCAGGGGTGTTCAACCACCGAGCCACATCCCTAGTCCTTTTTTAAAATTTTGAGACAGCGTCTCACTAAATTGCTTATAACCTCTCTAAGTTGCTCAGACTGGCTTTGAATTTCGATCCTCCTGCCTCAGCCTCTTGAGTAAGTGGGACTATAGGCATGTGCCACCTGGCCTGTCTTTCTCCTCCTCATTCTCTAGTAATAGGCATTGAACCCAGGGATGCTCTACCAGGAGGCTATACCCAATCCTTTTTATTTTTCATTTTGAGACAGGGTCTTGCTAAATGGCCAAGGCTGGACTCAAACTTAGGATCCTCCCACCCCAGCCTCCTAAGTAACTGTGAATCCAGGTGTATGCCACCGTGCCTGCCCATCCCTCAATATCATTTTTTAAAATATATGAATATTTGTGCCATCCTTGTGCAGGGGCTATGCCAATTTTTTTTCTATGTCATTCAAATTTTAATGTTGCTGAGGTGAGCACTCTATCATTGTTATGCCCTCCACACTTGTGAAATGTGAAACTTTTTTGCTTTGTGGTGCTGGGGATGGAACCCAGGGCCTTGCACTTGATAGGCGAGCATTCTACCTCAGAGCTACGTTCCCAACCCTAAACTTGTTTAAGGTTAGATTTCATCAACTTCTCTGATAAGGCAGAAAACTTGAAATCTGAGCTTTCTGGTTACTGATTTTACTGGATGACCTTGGGCAAGTCATTTAAGCCCTCAGGTTTGGTTTCCTTATCTTTAAGACAGACAAATTCTTTCCTTTCTGAAGTCATAGGGATGTGGTTAAAAAAGCAGACAGTGCGCCAACATTCTAGCTCCATTGCATTTAGTCAGTGAATAAAATTCTCTACTCTGGTTCTTTAGGGAGGCAGGCTATGAGAAGCCTAGCTGGTGGTGCTGGCTAATTAGACATTCACACCTACACTGCTTAACTGTGCACCGACTTCTGCCTGAACCCACGCTCTTGGATAGCAGGTGTTTCCCAAGGTGCTATATGTTTATTGATCATACTCTTTGATGAACCTGTCTGCAAAATGTGGAGTTTGGAAATGGGTGTGTCACCTATGTGACCGTATTCACATATATCCAAATGGAATTTTCTTACTGAAAGTTGAAATACCTTTCAAAAATTTGGTGATTTGTTGGGGAATAAGGAAAGCTATCATTTACATCTGGAAAAGAGTGTCAAATTGTTGAGTTTGTAATTATGTTGTATTGTTATGCTCGAATTCGGGACCCCCAAAAGACCACCAGAGACCATGATCGATGTAAGCAGCAAAGAGGTATTTATTGCGAGCTAGTTCGGTCCTCCACGTGCACACACAGCAACTGGTGACGCTGAGAGGCCCCGAGCCCAGGGTTTGCAGCAGTTTTATATACTCTTTGGGGAAGGCAGAGACTTCACATACACCATAGCATCTCTTACCAAATCATCACACACCGCGGGAAAATCAAACAACTCTAAAACATGATTAGCACATTCACTGGCAAGTTGGGTAGGGGTGATTGGTTACTACAAGAAGGGGATTCATTTGAACTGATTGGTTTAAGCCAAGAGGGGTGTTTGTGCTGAACTACATACTTTCCCAACACCATAAACTACTGGGAGGGTCATCTGGCATCCCAGGTATTTCCCTATCTCATGCTGTTTGGTGGCTGCTAGGGGGTTGCTATGGGCCCTCACCTAGCCTGACTGAGTCAGGGACACCTGGTGCTGCAGATCTCTCCTGTTATTTGTAGATAAACAACTCAGCAGGGTGGGTATGTGCCTAGGAGTGCTCTGTGGGTCTTTCCAAGGACAAGAGTCATGCCCCCTTCCTTGGACAGGCTTTGTTCTGAGGTAGGGGCTGGTTTTTCAGTATTTACCAGCTTCAAATGCTGGTCACAGGTCAAGTTCAAGTGTCATATATAAACCAAGCTTCCGTCGTACAGTCTTCATGAAACAAGGTCAAGGTGGTGCTGGTAGGGGTTTAGGGCGTGAAGAGGCCATGGGTTTTAGAAGCATACATCTCACTTCCTACTATAATTATATTAAATATCCCTTTTTAGGGGAAGGGGCGGAGAGTATTTCCTTAGGGAATTATATATAGGGCTGGGGACAACTTAGCAAATATTTAGAAAAATTGAGAAGTGAATTTTAGTTCATCCCTGGTTTACCCCTTTGGGGTAAACACCTGAAGTGGTAAATGGATGGTGTTTTGTATTATAACTTCTCCTCCTTTTTGCACTCTTGGGATCTCTGCTTTCTTCTCGGTGTTCTCTCCTAATATCTTCTTTTCTGGTGTGATCTCTGACATATTGCAACCTCCTCTGAATTCACTCACTTCTCCATGTCCTTCAAATGCACACACATGAATACCCATGGATATTTCTTTCAAACTACAGGGGCTAACTCCAGCTTTTTCACCTGGCTCTATGGCAGAAACATTTTAATTTTCAATCTATAAACCTTTAGTTCTTAGGAAAACACTATATATAAAGTTTTTAATTCAAAATTCTAATAATCTCCATTTAGCATTTTCCCCCCCAATTCCTATTTATTTTTGGCTCTTGGGGCAATGTCATCTTTTCTCTCTCAGGTTATCTGCCTGGGGCCTGTAAATTAAAGTGGTAAAAGACTAATAGTAGAAAACATATACAAATTGTGTAAATATTAATGTTTTTGATTTTACATATGGAAGCTTCGTAGAGAAGAAATGAAAACCCAAGGAAGTCATTAGAATCGGGGGTTTATATACCATTTTAACAACGGGTGATAAATTGTGGAGAGCTGTCTACAAAGGCAAGGCGGGGCTGGACTACAAAGGGCAGTAAATTGCAGAAAGGTGACTGGAAAATGTACGATGTCTACATTTTAAGATTTGTTTAGTTTGGTTCAACAGGCTCATCACCTTGCCATCTCCAGAGATAAGAGTCTTCTGGTCTTTCTGGCATAGGAGAGGAGCACCTTCACAAATGGACATTTCCTCTTCACAAAGGAATTTTATGCCAGTTTTAGGCAAATGGGGGAAGACAGAGAGCTCCTTTTGTGTCTGCTGAGACACAAAAGTTCAAAATAATCCTTACACCAAAGTGGCACATTTTGCATAAGCATATTCTGTTCCCTTTAAATACAATAGTTGGGGAGACATTGAATTAGATAAGAATAGAAAAAGGCAAATATGTATTCAAATATAGTTATGGCTGAAGGTGTGAACAGACAGCTATCTATAAGTATTTATTCCCTTGGCCACCGCTCAGCCTTGAAACCCAACAAGCATATACAAAACAAACAACAGCCATGAGGGCTGGCTCTGGTCATTTTGAGGTCACTAACTGACTTCCACCTGTGTATATCTTGATGCCTTGGGTAAAAGAGCCAGGGGTTGATTTGCACTATGGATGATTATATATTTTTCCATTTTGGTTTTTCTGTCTGACAGCAGCAGCGTGCAGGGTCAAAGACAGCCGGCCTCCCATGTCAGTGGTCTAGGATGGCCAGTGAAGCCACCAACATCCCAAGTCCTGTGGTGCGCCAGATTGACAAGCAGTTTCTGATTTGCAGTATATGCCTGGAACGGTACAAGAACCCCAAGGTTCTCCCCTGTCTGCACACGTTCTGCGAGAGGTAAGCCTCTTTGGTGCTTGGAGAAGGGACTTGCACAGACTGACCTCCTACCACCTACCGCAGGCTTCTTTCCCAGAATTCTACCATCACCCAAGGGAGACAATGAAGCGCTTGTGCTTCAGACATCTAGAAACCCAATCATGAGCTAACGTACTGTATTTCAAATAATGCAGGTCAGAGAAAGCAACCAGGTAACTACTGACTGGTTTTCAAAGGAGGTGGAACATTAAAAAAGTAGTTTAAGATAAAGACATTTAAATTTTTTTTCTTTGTTCTTCATGAAATAGTTTTTGCCAACTGCAAACTGCAGTGGTAATTGGCCAAAAAGTAAGTAAATTTAAATATATATATTTAAATTTATATATTTAACATACCATATAAGGGGTCAGTTCATAGAACAGCGTTGTTTCCTCAGAAATACTTCAAACACATATTAATGTCACTTTGGGACACTGAGATGTCAGATAAATGAAAAAACTACATAAAATGCATATATATAATTATTAGAAATTACCTTAAGAAAACACACTTTCTTATTTGTCTCTATTGAGAGGATTTTTTTTGAAGTGTGGTATTAGTTACCAAAATATGCTTTTACCCTATTGTTTAACTTACCTTGTAAGAATTTAGACATAAAAACTTTCTAAGTAATTAATTTATCTGTGGCCCAATTTCAGTATTTTCATAGTAAAGTTTACATATTTTTCTTAAAAGCAAAATGGTAATTATGTTTTTTAGCATTTTGTTACATACATTTTTATTATTATTTAATATACATAATTAAAATGCTTTACCCCCCATGATGGAATGGAAATCAATACTTGCAATGGCTTCAAATGTATGATGACTATATTTATCATCGACTGAACACACATTTGTTATCTGATTGTTGATTTACTTTGGAAGGTCTCAAATGCAAAAGAATAACCATATCCTTGGTGATGGTGATTGGTAGAGAGAGATGGTAGATTTATTACTTGTAGTTGTGGGTTTTTGTTTGTTTGAGGTTGCGTGTGTGAGAGTGTGTGTGTTTACGTGTATATATAGACTTTTGTTTGCTTGAGTGGTGGAATATATAGTGTAGCAACACCTTTTATTTTACTCATTTTACACTTTGGCTTAAAGGCTTCGTAACTTATATTCCAAAGTAATTAAATAGAGTATGATTTTTTTTCCCTACCACTTAATGGGTGTAGCTAAAACATGAATCCCAGAAAACTGTCCATGTGTCCCCATGTCCACATGGCACCTCCATTACTTGACTGTAGCAGTTGGCATAGGGTGGCTTTCATTGTACACCACACTGAGAGTCATTCAAGGTGACTCCATTCCTGTGTTTGGGATCCCATCTGTTTTGGGGGTCCTCTTTCCTTACACTCACAGGTGAGAACAAAGCATCTGAGCTGGCCTGGGTCTGGCCCAGCCCACCCCTGCTCTCTGCCCCACACCAAGTGGTGGAGATTTGTGAGCTCCTGCTATGGCGAGTCCCTGTGGAATGCCATGCGTTAGAATTATTCCAGCACCGTGAACACTGAAATGATTTCCTTTTGGAGGGAATTTCTTCCCTTGAGAAGATTTTATTTCTGTAGAGATGGAACTTCACAGTTTGGCTCACTGTCAGGAGACTGAACCGTAGGACCCCTTATGCTGGACACACGTACCCGCTGCTTGGTGACACCGTCACAGTCTTCCAAGGCACCATCAACGGGGCTTGGAAGGAGCAACACCAGACACCATGCTTGGCTGTGAAGAAGCCAGTTCCTAATTCCCTAGTCTCCAATTAATGTGACATGAAAACAGGAACAAGGGCTTCGTACCATAATGACACAGAAAACCATGGGGTAGAGGCAACTGCTCTTTCAGGGAAGGCATCCCTGCAGAATTGTTAAGCAGAAACCCTAAGAACGAGTCCATATTAAGCCAAGAGGAATGAGTAAAGGAAAGGATTTCAGGTCTGGGCAGAGGTGCTATAGTGAAAGGCACAGACACGTCACAAGAATTTTCACAGACCCATGAGAGGGAGAGACAAAATACGTGAGTCATCCATGCTACAAAGTATGGTTTCTTATTTTCATAACAGGGCAGTGGGATCCATGTTGGGAGGACGGGGAGATAGAAAGGGTGAGTTTTGAGATTCTGATGAGGTTACTCTGAGTGTGATAGGGAGAAGGGTCAGGGAGTACAAGGGGAGATGACAGGATGGAGGTGAAAGTCCATTGCCGAAGTCCAAGAAAGGTGGGTGTAGCAGGGGAGAAGAGAACTGGAGGGGGCAGAAAGATACCTGGGAACTGACAGCCTTTTGTGATGGGTTGGATACAGGACTGAAGGTCAGCAGCGGGAATTACTGTTTGATGAATGACTCCTGGTTTCTGGTTTGCTCTGATGAATGGATGGAAGTGCCAATTATCGAGGTAGGAAGAAGAGATGGTTTGGTTTTGGACTTGTTGAGTTTTAGGACCTGTGAGATATCTAAGAGGAGATGTCAAGAAGGCAGTTGACACCCAGGTATGGGACTCAGAGGAGACATCTCTGAGGATGGGACCTCAGGTAACTCCAAACTTTATTAACTCAGAAAAGAGAGAGAAGACAGAGGGAGGATCAGATGGTGTAAGAAAGACAAAGGAAGATAAATAGCCAAAAAGAAGAGGAGAGGGACAAGGTGAGGCTTGGTGAATGCTGCTGAGAAGTCTCCAAAGATAGGGTTGAAAGACGTCTGTGGGGTTTAGGTATCATTTGTGACCTTAAGGAAAACTGTTTCGTTTCTGATATTGATTCAGTACTAGCTATCTCTGTGATACAGAGAAGATCAGTCAACCTTCCTCAATGTCAGTTTTTCCTTCTGAAAAACCAGGAGAGTGGGACCAATTCAGGGGTTTTCGAATTCCATTTGGCTAAGCAGCAGGAAAACATTAAATAGTCTTTGTTGTTGTTTGTGCTTTATTTTTGCAGCATTGGAGATTGAACCCAGGGCTTTGCACGTGCTAGGCAAGTGCTGCCACTGAGCTACACCCTCAGCCCCAAGTCTGGTTGTTTAGAGCTTGGATTATGGTGGCAAACTGCCTGGGTTCTGAATCCTGTTCTGCACTTAACCTTGGGCAGATCACCTTAGTCTTTCTCTGCCTGTGTGTCCTCATTTCTCTAAGGTGATCATAATAGAATTTTCTTTGGAAGTTCTTTGGAAGTACTTTGAATAAATATGGTGGTCATCATTAGTGATTTATTTCTTTAATTAAATGAATTTAGTTGATGCCTGTTAAAGGGGAGGAAGGAGAAGAGATGGTCTGACTCAGTCTGCGTGTCCCATTCCTGCTTCACCCAAACATTTCCCCTCTCATGTGTTTTTAGTATCTGATTATGGTCTCTATAATGAATTCAGCGTTAACAAAAATGTTGGACATGTTTCCACGTCCACACGTTTGGAAGCTCTGTGCTAACTATTGTAGACCATTGCTTCTCAAATTTGAATGTGTGTGTGAATCACACATTGGAATCCAGTAGTCTGGACGGGGGCCCGAGATTCTGGATTTCTACCCAGTTCCCTAGGAGGCGTAGGCGGCTCACCCTGAACCACACCTGTGTGCCAAGACTCTAGAAAACACTATAGAAGTCAATGACGCTTTTCTTTCCATGAGCACAGCCCTTTGCCTGACAGGTCCACTGTGAGAACAGGTTAGCTCTTGGTTTTTGTAATATCATTTCCCTAGTGAAGGACTCTGGAAGGGATTTCTGCAACGTGGTCTATGTAATTGCTGAGAACATGGAGGGAATGGGCAGGAAGTGGTGCTTCCATCCCTTGGGCTGCTCCATGCTGACTGTCCTCCTGTCTTCCTCTGCGACAGGTGCCTGCAGAACTACATTCCCGCCCACAGTTTAACCCTCTCCTGCCCAGTGTGCCGCCAGACCTCCATCCTGCCCGAGAAAGGGGTGGCCGCGCTTCAGAACAACTTCTTCATCACAAACCTGATGGACGTGCTGCAGCGGACGCCAGGCAGCAACATAGAGGAGTCTTCCATCCTGGAGACCGTCACCGCTGTGGCTGCGGGAAAGCCTCTCTCTTGCCCGAACCACGATGGGAATGTAAGTGAAGGGGATGGTGGACACTGCCCAGAAGCCGGATGGCTTTGACCTTGGGCTCAACAGAGATGATAGGTTAAAAAACTCCACCTGGAAAGTGAGGGTTGGTTGGTTGGTTGGTTTTTGCAGCACTCGGATATGTTGGACTGCTCACTTTCTCTGATCAGAATTATTTAAATAATAAGATCCATTTTGATTGTGTCTGTTTAGCCCCTACTGTTGGTATCCTCAGCTTGCAAGCTGGACATAACTTGTCCCACATCAACATCTGTGTCATAAATTATGGGTAAAGATTTAATAATGGATACATTCTGCAAATTGAGAGTGATTATTAAGATGTTACTTAATTAGAGCTGTTTATTTTTCTTGGGATGGAAATTTTTCCTATATTCCCTTATGCCCCATTCCTTAATAATAAATAGAATTTGAGGCTATGAATCATAGATTAGGATTAGAAGTGATAGATCATGGATTATGAATTGCCAATATGTTTTCTTATTAGCAAGAACAAGTGTCACTTGTGTGTCATCAGATAACTGATTGACTATAGTATGTTCTGTAACCTGAAGAGACAGCATTGTGTCATGGCAAAGAGCACTGGCTTTGGGGTCTGCTGGCCTAATTCAAGTCCTGTTCCTAATCATAATCCCTGAGTCAGCTTTGGCAACTTTATTAAACTCTCTGTGTCTCATTTCCTCTTGTGTCAAAAGGAAGTAATAATAATATTTACCATATAGGACACAGGAAAAATGAAATGTTTGAATCATATGGAGCAGGTGGTAAACTCTCAATAAAGGTAGCTATTAAAATTCTTTCTTGGGCTGGGGGTGTAGCTGAGTGGTAGAGTGCTTGCCTAGCATAAGCAGGCCCTGGATTCAATTCCGAGCACCATACTTCCAAAATTATAATAATAATAAATACATATATGTTATTGAATCAAAGGCCTGGACATGCTCATCATGTGCCCAACCACTGAACTACACCCCTACTACAATTTCTAATCAATGACTTTGTTCACTTTTTTCATTATATATTGGCCACTTTTAAAGTACTTAACTGCTTTTAATAAAAAGCCCATGTGTAATACAATCACTAAGGCAAGCAAGGGATTGTTAGAGGCAGGTAATAATTACCAGCCGCAGTACTGTTTGATGACGTTATGTCACGTCACTTTCTCTGCCCACTGTGCCGTAGCTTCCCTGGGCTCCTAGGACTTGCCAAATGGTTTCTTACCTGCAGAACTGACTGTCCTGTTCCTTCTGCCTGGAATGCTGTTTGTGTCTTCTTTATGTGGCTAGCCGAGGCAGGCCACCTCTTGCACCATGGCCCTCCACGTCACTTCCTTCTTGGCTCCATGGCGCTCCCACTTCGTTTGCAGATTGCTACATTTTTTTCCCCCTGGTATCAGGGATTGAACCTAGGGGAGCTTAACCACTGAGCCACATCCCCAGCTCTTTTTAATATTTTCATTAGAAACAGGTTCTTGCTGAGTTGCTTAGGACCTCACTAAGTTGCTGAGGCTGGCTTTGAACTCACGATCCTCTGGCCTCAGCCTCCTGAGCTGGTGGGATTACAGGCATGCATCTCTGCACCTGGCTGCAGATTGCTACTTAAGGGTCCTCTGGCTTTCCCTTTAGAATATGAGTTCCATGTGGGCAGGGACCTGGTTCATTACTCCCCTTAGCACCAAATGCAGAATCTTACACATGGAAGCCAGTCAGTGCACGTTTATCCAACAGATTTGCCCAACAACATACTTGGTTCTTCAAATGCATTCTGCAAAGTTGGTGTTACCTTCGTTCTTTTAGATGAAAAGACTCAGGCTTGAATAGTTTAAGTCACAAAGCTAATTGACACGTCATAAAAGCTAGACCAGGAAGAAATGGCATCCTGAGCTCTTTGGTAGCCCACACAAGAGAGAGACATTGTGTTTTGTATCACACTGCTTAAGGAATTTCAATCAAACACTGTATTATGTATCAGTCATTATTTAACTGAAAGCACAGGAGACTATTAATAGCTATCAGGTGTTCTGTGCATTGCACTCCAAGGGAGAATTACCTGGTAAATTTTGGGGGAAAAAAAAAAAAACCTTAAAGGCATGCCTTCAACAGCAGTTTGGGTGTTCTTGTGACGATTCCCACACTGGCTGATATTGAACATTGTCTGTCTCTTCTTGGAACTCACATCTTATCAGTTCTAAAAGGCCTTTAGAGTCAGCCACGAGAATCCCCTTCAAGTGTAGGCCAGACTCAACTTGATAGAGGGGTAAATTTTAGAAACATGAGGAGACCTGCTTTAGACCCTGGTCTAAGTTTGGAATGTAAAGTAGCAAAAATGTCGAAAAAGAAATGATGGCAGTGGGGAAGGAAGGTAACATCACTAAGCAAAAGAAGGATGTGGTGGAATTCATAAATGGCTGGGAGCTGGGAGCAGCTCGGGCATCAGGCAGGAGGTGATGGTGGGCACGGGTGGCAGTAGAAGTTCTAGAGAGCTGCGGGAGAGATTGTGACCAGCTATAAATGTCATCAAGAAAATGTTTGCTTGAAATTCCTTAAGCAGTGTGAAAGCACTGAGATCTGTTAAATAAAAGGTGGCTATTTCAGTGGCTTTAAGGAGGAATGGAATAGCAGAGACTAAAGGATGGGGCACTGATTCTGGATTTATTTTTTATTTTATTTATTTATTTTTTGATTCTGGGGATTGAACCCATGGGTGCTTTGCCACTGAGCCACATCCCTAGCCCCTTTTATTTTTTTATTTTGAGACAGGGTCTTTCTTAGTTGTTGAGGGTCTTGCTAAATTGCTGAGATGGGCCTTGAATTTAACAATCTTTCTGCCTCAGCCTCCTGAGTCACTGGGATTACAAGCATGTGCCACCCTGCTGGGCCAATTCTGAATTCATTGAGTTTTCCAAAGAGAAACCATCAGATAGAACTAGAATGGTATCAGTGGCTCTAGAGAAGAGAAGGCAAATTTCAGAGAAAAGAGTACTCTTTCACTTGAATATCTGCCTCCCACAAATGAAGATATATATTCTAAAATCTGTTAAACTAAACTATTAAGATTGAGAATTTGTGGGGCATAGTGGTACACACCTGTCATCCCCATTACTGGGGAGCCTGAGGCCAGAGGATTGAAAGTTCAAGGGCAGGCCAGGCAACTCGGCGAGACTGTGTCTTAAAAAGGCTCATGATGTCGCTCAGAGGTGGAGTCCTAGCCTAGGATGCACAAGGCCCTGGGTTTAGTCCCCAGCACCACCACAAAAAAGGAAGAAAGTATAAAAGAAATAAAAGGAAAGATAGAAAACCACCTAATTCATTTATGATGCACTCATAACCCTGATGACAAAACCTAGTGACGATAACAAGCTATTAATAATTCAACTATGGTAGTAGCTATGAATTTCTTAATTAAAATACCCTAGCAAATTCTTTTTTTTTTTTTTTTTTTTTTTTTTAGACACAGTATCTTTATTTTGTTTATTTATTTTTATGTGGTGCTGAGGATCGAACCCAAGGCCTCACGCATGCTAGGCGAGCACTCTACCGCTGAGCCACAACCCCAGCTCCCCTGTAGCAAATTCTTAATATGTAAGAGAACTTACAAGTTAAGAAAACTATGATCATCACACACAAAAAAAAAAAATGAGAAGGAACTCAGAAAATCCACAGGGGGAGGTTTTCTAAGTGGCCAATAACTGTGTGCATGTGCTTGTATACACACACACACACACACACACACACACAGATATTAAACAAACTTCACAAATAATCAAATCTTTGCAAATCAGCTACAATTTTTTGAAAAGATAATAGCCAGTGCTGATGAGGAGATGTATATTGAGATATTTTTATATGCCGTGGGCGGAAGGGTAAATTGCTCTTTAGAAAGTTGATGTTAATTTAATAAAGTGTAATGAGTGTTTTCTACCACCATTCATCTTTTAATATAGTAGTTTCACTAATAGAAATATTTCTAAGGAAATACTTTGATATGAAGACAAAGACTTAATATTAAGAATGATTGTTGTGGGTCTGGGAATGTAGGTTAGTGGTAGAGCACCTGCCTATCATGTGCAAGGCCCTGGGTTACATCACCAGCACCACAAAAGAAGAGAAAAAAAAAGAATGTTAGATTTTTATATTTCAGTAAAAATTGGGAATAATCTAAATGTGCAATATTAAGAACATTGTTAAATTATGTTAAGTCCAAATAACAGATTGTTGGGTAGCCATTAAAACTGAGGGGGGTTTATTTTTATTTATTTTGTTGTCGTCGTTGTTGTTTGATACTGGGGATCATACCCAGGGCCTCACATGTGCTAAGTACATGCTCTACTCCTGAGCTACACCCCCAGCCCCAAACTGGATGTTTTTCAAAACAAACGCCATGTTTGTTGGTATACATGAATACGTTTATGTTTAGAGTTTTTTTTTTTTTTAATTGTAGGACCACAGGGTATACAGTATAGAAAGGAGAAAGATGTTTTTGTGCAGAAGAGACAAAGTTGCAGAGAGAGTAGAGAAAGCAGAGAGACTTTTGTGCTGTTCATCAGCCCAGTGTTCCCCAGAGCCAGAAGTAGTGATGACGGGCTAGACAGGTAAAGTCTGGGACATGGAGGGCTCCGGGATGCCACTGGAGCTTGAATTTGTCCTGAATCATGGGGAGCTATTTCATTAAAGGCTGTTAAGCACCAGGCACAGTGGCACATGCCTGGAACCCCAGCAGCTCAGGTGGCTGAGGCAGGAGGATCTCGAGTTCAAAGCCAGCCTCAGCAAAAGCAAGGCTCTAAGCAATTCAGCGAGACCCTACATCAAATTCATTTCAAAGAAGCTAGAGATAGTGAGGGTAGATTCAGAGTAGAGGAGCCGGACACAGGGGAGGTTTCCCACCTGGGAACCTGCTAGAATAACCCTCAGAGGAGCCCTGGTCCAGGCCTGTGGGAATTAGGTTGGAGGAGTGGACCAAGGAGTTGACTGAGTGAGCTGGTGGGCAGAGGC